ATGGTTGATCTACGTGTTGCCCACTAGGGTTTGTTTTCCGCTATTTCTCAGTCCTACTCGTACGCTCCTTCGTACTTGGTCTTGCGCAAAAAGGGCAAAAAGGACAAAAAAAACATCAAAGAACAAAAAAAGAAATGAAATTGCAAAATTAGATGCAATTCGCCGTCTGTGGGAATCGAACCCACGACCACGTGGTTAAAAGCCACGCGCTCTACCAGCTGAGCTAAGACGGCTTACTTGATCATTCCTCCGATATTTCCGCATTTATGCGAGACTAATCGAAGGGCTTCTTCCAGACTTGCTGTAGGCATATTTTTGTTGGGCCCAGACTTGTAGTCCAGGTTTATTCATAATCTGGCTGGGCTCAACCCCGAAGCCCAGTTATCAACACTAAGCAATTGGTCTAGTCAGCTTGCTTGCCTTGTTTACATAACTTTTTTTAGCCTCCCACGTATTTCTCTTTATTTCTAGTCATCAGACTGAATATTTCAAACGAAAAATAACGAAGAAATTCATAATTAAATAATGATAGGCTTAAAGCACGAAACCACTCACAAATTCATTAATCTTTGAAATTACATCACATAAACAACATGGAAGCATCTTTGAAATCGAATACTTGTTAGTTTAAAGAGATTCTTATCCTTCACTCTGTCTTCACTGGAAGCAATCTTTTTCTTCACTATTTATATAGTTTCAAAGTGGTCATTCCATGCCCCACACGTGTTAGACTTTTGTGTTCTAAATCTATATTTATAGTATATTTATAGAGACATGATATAATGCCTCGGGATTGGTTGATTGGTTGGTTGGTTTGATCAGCTTGTATTAAGGAAAAAGCTAAAAACTTTATTGTGTTTGGCTCGTGAGCAGTTTGTAAATTTAGAGTAAATTTTATTTGGGAGAGTATCTTTTTAATAATAAAACAAAATGCTTAAAGGATTGTGTTTGTTTCTACGTTTTGAAGTTTATATGAACTTTGCCAAGTATTATATTTGCGTTGAACCTGATAATTCATATAGGATTAGAAAGAGAAGTATCGTTAGAAATGAGCAATGTTAGGCTGATATTGATTTTAGCCAAAAATGAGGCCCAATCAACTACATTTTGTTTTGGGTCAAAGTCCAATAATTTTGGGTTTGCAAATTTTCAACTTCATTAGCCCAATTTACAAGACATAATAATAAACAAACAAAACCTATTTTCATTTTATTTTCTAGCCCATTAAACCATCCCAAACTTTGAACTTACATGATACAGGTAAACCACCATTATAAAATATTGTGCCAATAATACGTCACGTAAAGAAAAGTTTTCATATTTCTTATATTATTAGCACATAACATGAAGATGTACTCGTGCCATATAAGTTATTTTTATGTAGATAAATACTTCCTTACATCCACATGCATGCATCATAATTCATAAAGATCATTATCAAGACAAAAATATCTTTAGCTAAAATCAATGTCTCAGTCATTGCAATTGCCCACAAACCTTTGTCCGTTTGCTAACGGGATTTTATTTAACTTATGATGTATAATATATCTTTGGCCCACCATCCAAAAGCAGGCAACAAAGACAAAGGCTTAAAGTAAAAAGAAACTAATGAACATGGTTTGAAAACTTTGAGTTTTAACGATAAAGACAAAATAAATGGTAAAGTGAATAGTAGCAGGTTTGATTTTTTAGTGTAAAAATGTGGTAACTTTTCGTTAAAACTTCCTAAAGTAAAAACCTAAGCCTTTTGAAAGTGAAATTTAAGAACCTGAATAAGAATAAAGGTACTTTGAACCGAATCAAACCGAACCACAATTCTAATTAATTAAAACCTAACTCACAATAATTAACCACAATAAATAAATAAAGGGTAAATTACATAGTAGCCCCTCAGGTTTGAGGTCTATTACAATCTCATACAACATCTTTAAAACATTTCACTTTCATACCTCAAGTACTATTTTATTTCAAAATAATACATCCGTTACATTTTCCATCCATTGATCCGTTAAGTGCTGACGTGGCTGCTAAATGTGTGCCACGTGGCTGCCAAATGTATGCCACGTGGCATAATAATAATTTTTTTTTTTTTTGAAAAATCTGAATCTTCTTTAAAAAAAAAAAAACAAAAGCAAAATCAAAAGCTGAACCCCCATTCCCCTCACCCCACCTCGCAGAGCCCTTCCCGTCGCCCCCTCCACCCCCCTCTCATCTCCCCCATCTTCATCTTCTTCCCCCGACCCCCATACCTGCAACCCAGAGAAAAAAAAAACCCCAATCCCGTCTAAACTTCGATTCTTCTCGCTCATTTGACCTCTCGCGCTTCGCTTCCCGATGCTTGGACCTCTCTCTGCTCCCTTCCCTCTCGTCCCTCGGCGCGTAGGACAATTCACGGTGGTTGCGTGAGACATCCCGGCCGTCGTCGCTCAGCTCGCTTGACTGTTCGCGGCGAGATTTGTGGTCGCGGGGGTCGAGAGAGATCTCGCGCTTGGAATCGCGGTCCAATCGGTGGTGGTGGCGGTGGTAATCGGAGTCCTTTGACGATTGGTTTTCGTCGGCATCACGACTGTGATGTTTGTTGTAGTCTCTGTCGTCCTCACTCCAGAGCTTCAAGGAATGGTGGTTGCTGTCCCTAAGGTCAAACTCTTGGATTTCTGTATATGAATTGAGAAAATTGTTGTTTAATTTCATGATTTGAATATGTTGGAATGTTGTGGGTGAGGTTACAGATGAGAGAAGGGAGAAAAGGGGTGGGGGTGGGGTGGGTTTTTGGATGGGAAGGGAGGTGAAGAGAGTGGAGGAGAGGGAGGTGGTTGGGAGGGAGAAGAGGGGTAGGGAGAGGTTGCGGGGGTGGTTCTGCATTTTCTAAGTTTTGGTTTTTTTTTTTTATTTTTTATTTTTTATTTTTTTATTAAGAAGATTCAGATTTTTCAGAAAAAAAAATAAAAAATTATTATTTTTGCCATGTGGCATACATTTGGCAGCCACGTGGCACACATTTGTCAGCCATCTCAGCACTTAACGGACCAATGGATGGAAAATGTAACGGAGGTTTATTTTGAAATAAAATAGTACTTGAGGTATGAAAGTGAAATGTTTTAAAGATATTGTATGGGGTTGTAATAGACCTTAAACATGAGGGGCTACTATGTAATTTACCCATAAATAAATAAATAAATTCTCCAACATCACACTTGCAACTTTGTTATTGGACGAATGTGATGTTTGGTTGGACATGGATCGGTGAATGTGGGAATTATTATAAGAGTACAGATCCAAATGTCACCTACTTTTTGGAGGGATTCTTATGTACGACCGACTGTCTTAAAAAAAAATCTATTTGTTTCTAATTTTATATTAATAGAGCATATAAAGCCAGTAGTTGATTTAGGATTTTAACACCTCTTAATCAAGATACGGTGCCGTTAGTCGGACAGCAATTTAAGGATTAGTGCCTATATGTCTAGATGGGATCCAAGTGGACTAGACGGATTTTAAACAAATTTATTATATATCATAAATTAAGTGTTTATTTACACTTAAAAGAATTATTTGTATTAAGAATTTGAGTTTTTTGTAGGACCATCTTTGGTATTGTATAATTAATATTTGTCTTGCTGGACTGCACTTAGGCTACCTACGCTCTGGTTGTGTGTAGTCACCTTTAATATCGCACTTTCACCTTATCTAATCTAGTGTTTTAGTTAGTTGGTTTTTATTTATTCGCATTTCTTATATCATTATTGCTTTCGCACTGTGCACATGACTACGTCATCCTCACGTGACTGCTAGCATGCCTTGATTTAGGTCGGGGTGTGTTATTTGTGGATGCTTAAAATACACTACAAAATCTCTCTAATTCTTAATAATTCCTCAAATTTTCCAAATTCTTTAAATTCAAATTCTAATTGAATACATCTGGAATGTTATAAATTTCTTTAAAATTCTAATTGAATACATCTCCCTTAAACTTGTTTGATTTGGCTTATTTGAATGGTTTAAGATATGTACTAGGATTCTCTCATCTCCTCTCACATTCTTTTATTTTGTCTTTCTCTTCTTACAAAAAATTAATATAAGATGTTGACGTGGTTTAACCGTGACTGTTCAAATAGAAGAGAAGGAAATGGGAGGAAAAAAAAAGGAGAGATAATCCTACTCCTTAAGATATTTGGCGTGTAAAAAATCGAACTTAAAATTTTCGCTTATGACATCATCACTTATGACGTAGCGATAAGATATTGTAAGAGTTAATTCAAATAACCCTTCGTCGCTTTTAATGTCTGGACTCTCATCGTTTTGTGATCAGTTGGCATCCATGAGGACATCATCCGGAGCTGCCTTGCTAAATTGGGCAATTAGATTCCACGGAATATCCTCCATCCACTCTTTCAATGTGCTTGGCGTGCATTCACACGATTACTCACCCCTTTCACTTGATCGACTATACACCCGCCGTTCGATCTCTAACCAAACCTTCTTTACCCGTGCCGCGAAGCACCAGATCTTACCTCAGCAGAATCATCTGAAACAGGGGTATTTTAGTCATTCAAGCCGAAGCCGTAGCCAATCACAATCGACAAAAGCAGACGAGCAAACCAACCAACCAGCCGCCAGGAAACGACGGAGCCCATGCTGCTAGGAAAGCAACTTAGCAACCTCCACCCGAAAACGGCGTCGTATCGATGAAGCCTAATTGCTAAATCCACAAAAAACGACGCCGCTTCCTCTTGTCTCATTCACCTTCTTCTGATCTTATCTCATCGGCAACATCATTTCCCTCTCCCAAGTCATCCCCGTCACTGTCTCCTCAGTACCAATCCACCGCCGATCGGAAAACTCACTCGACGACGGCTCCGCGGACTCGCGACGGATCTTATCGAACCGAGTTCAGCGGTTGATCGCGATTAACTGGAAGCGACGACGCCGTTTACTCTCCCGATTGTTCGCTCTCTAATGTGACGGGCTCTGGTAGGGGACAAAGTCGTGATTTCCTCGAAATGGATCGGCAGTCGATGACGGTCGGGCCGGCCATGGACATGCCGATCATGCACGACAGCGACCGGTACGATTTCGTCCGAGATATCGGGTCAGGAAACTTCGGGGTCGCCAGGCTGATGACGGACAAGCAGACCAAAGAGCTCGTCGCCGTCAAGTACATCGAGCGCGGCAGCAAGGTCAGTTTTGGGATTTCAGTGTTGTTATCGGTGGTTTTGACTAATTTTTGTGCACCATCCATTTATGGGAATAGATTTTTCAAGTTTTCAGTTTCTAAATTTAGTAATTTGATCGTTTTTTTAATAAATTTTGCGGCGGTTTTACCCTTTTTGTATTTATTAGCAGCATTTATTTCTTCTGATTGATGTAGTTAGCATTAATGGATGATTAAATGTTAGAAAAGATGGTGTTTTGATTAATTGATGATTAAATCATGGAGAGTTGGGGTAAAAAAGATATTGAATTTTTTAGTGTGATTAAACTTGCAAGTGGAAAATATTGCTTGTTTCTCACCATGGTTTTCGGTGTTGCAGATTGATGAAAATGTTAAAAGAGAGATAATAAATCACAGGTCTCTGAGGCACCCGAACATCATTAGATTCAAGGAGGTTAGTTTAGCCGTTTCTTGACGATAGATTTTGTATTCGGCTTTCTAGTGATGGTAGGATGATTGGCTGCTAATCTACTCTGGATTTCACTCTACATATAGGTCATTCTGACTCCTACCCATCTGGCCATTGTTATGGAATATGCTGCCGGAGGAGAAATGTTTGAGCGAATAAGCAATGCAGGGCGGTTCAGTGAGGATGAGGTCCTCATTTCAATATCTCTCATTCCTCCCTGTCTTTCTATTTCCTTTTCAATTTGGTTACTTTTACTGTTTTACTTGACATGTTGAAGGGTGTTGTTGATTTTTGGTCCAGGCCCGCTTCTTTTTTCAACAACTTATATCTGGAGTCAGCTATTGCCATGCCATGGTATCAAAATCTTCCTTTTGGCTTTGTTTAAGATTGATGTATTTTTCCATTGGATGTGGACTAGATGATTTATTTGAACTATCACTTTCCCTCTTGAAGCAAGTATGTCACCGAGACTTGAAGTTGGAAAACACTTTGTTGGATGGCAGTCCAGCTCCTCGTTTGAAAATATGTGATTTTGGGTACTCAAAGGTACTGGCTGTTTTTCGCTTTCTTACTTATTTGGTGTATGCTTTTGTGTTCATATCATTAATTAAAATAAAGGGAACTCAAGGCTAACTTGAAATGAACTTCTTATGTAGAGCTTTTGTTCTAAGATCCTGGCATATCTGTTTCCTTTAGTTTCGGCTTGATCTTAGGCAAGTTTGACCTGAGACCTGGGGTTTTCGTTTTGAATACTTTGTTTATAGATCATTTGAGGATTTGATCTCTCTAGTTAAGGAGAATTCCATCAATGATGTGGTTTATGGTATAGTTATGTAGCCTAGTTGGTAGTAAGGTACTGGCCTGCAGACTCTGCTCGAATATCTGTTTAAATGATCTTGAGTCAAGTTATTTTAAGTTCTTTGTATGCTTATTGGATCATAACGTGTTATGTATCTGATGTGGTTATTTATCAGTCTTCAGTGCTTCATTCACAACCAAAATCTACTGTGGGAACTCCTGCATACATCGCTCCAGAAGTATTACTGAGGCAAGAATACGACGGAAAGGTATAAGAATTGCTTAATCTTGGTAATCATTCATCAAATTATGATGCCATCGGACCCAGAAGTTTTGTTTAATAATTGACTACCACTCTGTTCTGGAGAATTCCATGAAGCTGAATTTTGATAAATGTTATTGTGATTAGTTCATTCTATGCTTTCCCATTTGTTTCAACATTTACAAACTTTAATTTGAAACCCCCCCCCCTCCTATCTGTGTTTATTAAATTCTCTCTCACCATTCAAGTTTTGCTTTTGAATTCCAAGCAACATTTTTAGCATAATTTTAATGCTCATAGTTTAGTTTTAAATGTCAAAATAATAAATACTTTTGCTGGTTCATACAAGTTTGAACTGCCGCTTAACATGTGTTTGATCAAAATAAGAAACACTTTTTCTTGCTTAGACTATATTTTTGAACCATTTTTTTCCCTTTCCATATCATGAAGCTGAAGTTTTTGTTAGTCTAAAAAAAAATGTAACCCCGTTAAATGGATTGAGAAGTTTGTATGTTGAAAGTGTGTTACAACATCAGATTGCAGATGTATGGTCATGTGGGGTAACCTTATATGTGATGCTTATGGGAGCATATCCTTTCGAGGATCCTGATGAACCGAAAGATTTCCGGAAGACCATACAAGTATGTCGTTCAGCCTTGGCACAACATAAAATTTCTTAATGTAAATTGCTTGACTCGGGATTATTTATCTTCTCCGTGCAGAGGATACTCAGCGTCCAATATTCCATTCCAGATACTGTTCAAATATCTCATGAATGTCTAGAGCTGATATCAAGAATTTTTGTCCCAGATCCTTCTGCGGTTAGCTTATAAATCCTTCTGAATTCTTGTTTATTCTGCACTACGGCTTGTGATATATGGTTGCAATTATCTTTTCCCTTTCTTTATTTGGGTCATTCTTTACACACACACACATTTGTTGTTGCGATAAATACCTTTTGTTTTGTGCATTGAATTTGTGTGTAAAGGATTGGAGGTATTGGGGAATAATCCTTCTGTTAAGCCCACCAGGGAACATAGAATTGATCAAATAGCATGAGTCTTTCTATTAAGACTTTGAGGTACATTTTTTTTAAGGTCGAGGACAGAAAAGGGAATTGGAATAAGATTCATAGAAAGAGGAAAGTGGCCGTAACCACCTGAAGATATGATTGAAGGCTCCTTGCTCTTAGAATCTTTCAATATTATATTACAAGACATTGAAGGTTAATTGTGGGAGTGAAGACCAAATTAAATTATTTTCCCAATTGGATTAGTTCGAATTAGACAATATAATTAGATTCTGTATTAGAGTATAATCAAATATGGTAGTCTTATTCCAAAAGGAAAAAGTAATATAACTACTTATGATGCTCCATTGAAAGCCTAACATAGGCCATTTGTGCGTGTGTACGCGCGGGTGCGCATGTGAAACTCCTTTAATTTCTTTTTTTTTTGGATGATTCCTTGAATTTCTTGTGACTTTGCTTCTTTTATTCAAGGATATTTTGGAGGCCTTTTGGTTTTCCTGGAAGTTAAAACAGTTCTCCAGTTTCCCATTATTGAGCACTTAATGCCAGAACTGGAGGAATAAATGGACTTGCTACATCTTGAAAAGTATTTGCTTTTGAGGGATTCTATTTGTCGAGAACATGGGGAATCTAGCTTCTTTCTCTTCCTTTTCTTTGTTGTTGATTGTGCCCGATATTTACGGATGTGCATGCATGTAACAGAGAATTACCATTCCTGAGATAAAGAACCATCCGTGGTTCTTGAAGAATCTCCCTGCTGATCTGATGGACGAGGGCAACCAGTTCGAAGAGCCTGATCAACCCATGCAAAGCCTTGACGCAATCATGCAAATCATTGCCGAGGCCACTATACCAGCAGCTGGAACCCTTGGTCTGAGCCCTTACATGACGGACAACCTGGACATGGACGATGATATGGACGACTTAGACTCAGAGTCTGAACTTGATGTTGATAGCAGCGGGGAAATAGTCTACGCAATTTAATTCAAGTACGCGATGTTGTTAGTTGGAAAGAGTTGTTACCGTTGGTGAAAAACTAGTAAAAAACAGAGAATGTGCAATAGAGTGTGTGATAGATTATTAGCATAGAAAATCAGATAGGGGGATTGAAGGCTCTATGCTATATCATCTCATATACTCTCCTTGGAAGTTGGAGGTTGGAGTCTGTCTGTCGTATATTTATAAACCTAGTTGTATATTTTTACTGGGGAGTAAATTTGTTTTTGAATTGTTAATCTGTTTGTGAGGGTGGTAAGTGGCGGATATTCTATCGATACATGATAATCCACACCCTCTCTTCATGTTGTTAAACCTCTTTTTATAGCTGACACTACTTAGTGGGGATAAGGCGTGATTGTTGTTTTATTTAGCGGTTTTGCATAGGTCTTGTAATTCCCTTTTTTTTTTAATTGGTTCTCAACCATCGTTTTTATATGCTGCCGAACCCAAAGATATTCCTCTCCTGCCTTGTTAATTTGGTTTCTTGACTACTGTCTTTGAGGGGATTCGAGTTCGACCATTTCAAGAAGTTTGTCCCCAACACAAAACCGATTGTTGTCGCCGAAGATTCAGTAGGCACAAAGTTGAGTAAATAAACGCGTTGGACAAAACTGCCCCAAGTAGAGCTTTTGCGGCGGTAGGTCAAGGACCCCAGCAACAGAGGACTCTTTAAATTTCGCGACAAATTGACTGGCTCCAATAGGGGTTTTGCGACGATCTGAAATGAATTTTTATTTTATTTTCCTTGCAGCTAATGTAGCTGAAAAAAATGTTCTAGGGCTTTGGGTGAATATTTTCTTGTGATTTTGATTCCGTTATGACAAAAGTTTGCAGAGGAAAATAGTTTGAGAGAAAAATGAGAGAATTCTTATTAGAGATTTTCTTCTATTACATGTACGGCATGGCCACTTTTATTAGAGAATTTCATTTATTACATGTGATGTGAGCATGACAACCTATTACGTCTAGTGGAATTCCTCTTCATATGTAAGTGAGAGATCTTAGGTTCGATTCTCACCAAAGACGAATTTGAACCACATTATTGTTAGCTCATCGTGAAGCTAAGCTTACCCCTCCTCTTTAATATAGATAATATCGTTTGTTATAAAAGAAAACTATCGTGTCAAATTACACAAATATCCCAAGTTCAATAACGAGAATCAATTGCCTAATCAATTAGCTTTGCCTTTGGCTCCAAGTTATTAGCATCCTACATATACTTTTAGATTGAATAAATCAAAAGAGAATTTAGTTACAAAATAGAAGGCGAAAGGCGACATGCGAAAATGATTCCCAAAAGGTAAAAGAAGAAAACCAGAAAACACTAGTCCATGGACCGATGTTGTATATTGAAATCGTCTCATCCTAGTTTATTGTCTTTGCTATGCAACATCTCATGTAGTGAGTAAACACAGCTCTCAAATTTGAAGTTTGTGGAGCCAATCCAGGCTGGTTTCTTCTTTGGCCACAGTTATTTTGTCGATATTTGATAAGACAGGTTCCCGTAAATTTCTTTTGTCTTCGTCCCATATCACTTTCTCTAACTGCAGATCAAGATCAAACACTGATGGAGGATTGTGCATTGATCGTTCTTCAACCACTCATGTTACCGATGCCTTCAGGCAACTCCTTAATGCCGAAACAATTCTATATGTCAAGAAAGCACAAGTTAGTGAGTTTTTCAATCGAGACCTGAAGCTTTACCAGGTCTCTGCGGGACCTTAGCCTCAACACTTATGACAGTTGTTGATGCTGGCAGATAAGATCGCACTGCTTCACAGGCAATTTCAGCAAATCATTACAATAGTCGAGGTTCTAGTTTGTTGAGAACGATTTGTCTGAAAACAATGTGCTATATGATGCGAGTGTGGGGAGAAATTAATGTGGAAGTGCGTATGTGAGCTTGTACGTACGTGATTGTACATGTGTATGTATCTATTTTTTTAAGGAAAGAGAGATCACAGATACCAACATGAGACAGATACTAAGCGAGCTTCTTTGTTTTCTGCTGCTTCTCTATCCACCACCGTGGAAGCTCATCTCCTCGTATGTCTATAATCAGTCTATATATGTCCTATCGGGTCTTCACGAATCTCATGAATTGATAGCAATTTAAGCATATCATGTTGGATAGCAAAGTGTTCACCATAGTAGCCATCCAAATCCTAATTCCTGGTTGTGATATCAAAATTTAGTTTCATAGAAGAAATTTCTGAAACGTGCATATCACAATAGTAAATTAGTTATAAAAGTAAAATTTCCATGCCTTGTGACTACAAGACCGGCCAAATTACGGATGGTGAGCTCGTAGAGGTTCGCCATTGACACTTTGTCAGCTGATCCCTCATATAACTCAGCCCACATATCAAGGCTGGCAGCAACGGCGATTCTTTGGTCTTCGGGAAATAAACCAAGGTCTATGAACAATCCTTTACAGCAGCCAGAGCCAGTCCTTTATACAAGTCATCTAATCAACTTTTGAGGTGATCAAGCAAGCTAGTCTCTGAATCAAGAATGGAAGAATCTGTGGACAATTGGGTTCGTCTTTTTTCTCCATATCTCTATAGGGCGATTGCGAAGTGAGGGTCCTATAGTTGCAATGGCCAGTAGAAATTTTTTACAGCAACGTCCAATTTTCCAAAGTGAAGTCAATAACTATTTACAGATGTGGTAAAACCGACACTTCACTGGTGTACATAGATGATTCAGATAAAAAGTGAACATAATTTATTTTCTCCGTTTGCGATCCAAATAAGCATATATATTTGACATTCATATTAATAAATAACCACTTTCTGAAGATAATCTGGTATGTTAGAGCTCGTATTTGGCATGAATGCTGAACGACGAAAAAGAGTCACTGCACTGCACCTTCATCTGTCAATGCTTGCAAATTATATGGAAGCCTGAATTTCGGAAAGTGATACTTGATGTAACCAAAATCTTGTAATTTGGCATTTTGATTTCATCAAACTCATCAAGAAGGGATTCTGATCCAGACCGACCATCATCCAAGATTAACAGCAAAGGATTTTGCCCTGCTTCACTGAAAAACCGCGGCAGCCGGCTAAATGCAAATTCTTCATTTTCTAAGCAGGTACCGTGAATCCGGCGTGTTGACACAATTCTTGGACAAGGTAACTGGGCTTATTTGAAACCGTGGCAAAGAAGATATTCTGCTTGAATTTATCTAGCCAAGAAAACACAGAGAATTGAAAACATTACTAATCAGAAGAAAAAAGAGAGAAAAGGAAACCGATATAATTAGTATACAGATAGCAGTCCTACGTTTTGATTAACTGCCCTTGCGGACAAAATATCGACCACGCATTGACAATTGTAAGTGCGCTATACCAATTATATCAACAATATCGAGTGTCCGCATCCAAAAAATGCTTGCCGCAATGTATAAAAACTTTATAGATAGATACCTTTGACAAAACATATTTTCCACAGTGGTTTTCCCACATCCTCCCGGAGCAGTGAGCGCAAGCATTGACCCCGCGTCATCCTTAAGGAGTTTCATCTTCATCTCCGCCAAAGGCTCATCCAGTAGAAGTGTATAATGTATTGGATGGAAGGTCAGGAACTACATATCATGTTGTAATAAGGTTTTGGTTTTGGTTTTTATTTTGCGCCACAAGATTTGCATCAATTCGGTGGAGCACCACCGCAGAAGTAGCTCCTAATTGCAGATTCTGCAGACGCGAGAGTCTTTGAAGAGATTTATCCAATTTAACAATTTTTTCTCATATTTGCGCTTTTCCAACAAGTTCAGCATCTCGGGGGGAAACCTTGTCGCACCTTTTGACGAGCTGCTTGCCATCCTCCATTCTTCTTGTAAACCTTTCAGAAACCGAAATGGTTCCGGTTTGGTTTATCTATGAGATCAGTGGCCTAAAAGACTCTAGCGTGGAACTGAGATCACTGTGGAGAGTTGGAAACATCTCAGCCGTCTCCTGCGCTTTTATGGCGGCATCAAACAGCAATTCAAATGGCAGAACCTACAAATACCGTAACTACTTCCACAATTACAACCACCACCCAGTTCTGAAAATCTAAACTTCTAAACAAGAGAGCAAAAGTTTTGGATCACAAATGCATTTGAAACAACGAAGAACCTACTTTCTATATACTAGAGATAATTTGCCTTTGAACTAATTTAATCTGCGGGGAGAAATTGAAACTCGGCTGCATTGGGAGAGACTACTCTTTAAGTCTTAAGATAAGTATGGAAGGCGAGAAGAGAACAATATATCAATAAATTCAAACCAAACACAATGTATATTCATATTCAATGATAAAAGAATATGTTGTTTGCAAAACTTTGTAGGTTAATGACTCATGATGTTTTAAAAATCTTTGCCTAGCGCTGCCTAGGCGCTAAGACCATCTCCAACCGAATGAGGGTTAGAGGGCTCATTTTAACCCTTTGGCCCTTCAAGAAATTAATATTTTAATAAACAGTGTAGGGTCATATCTCTTACCATCTACAACCGAGAGCCAAATGGTCATATGCTCGTTTTAGCCCTGTCACAAAAAAGGGTCTCCAACCGAGGGCCAAACATAATTTATTATTTAAATTTAAAAACTACAATAACTTTTAAAAACTACAACAACTTAAATTTAAAAACTACAACTTATGTGTCACATCCCGGCCCAGGGTCCACCACGTCCTGGGCTCGCTCCATCATCGTAGCACGATATTGTCCGCTTTGGACCCCGACCACGCCCTCACGGTTTTGTTTCTAGGAACTCACACGAGAACTTCTCAGTGGGTCACCCAACATGGGAGTGCTCTCGCGCGCTACTCGCTTAACTTCGGAGTTCCAATGGAACCCGAAGCCAATGAGCTCCTAAAAGGCCTCGTGCTTGGTAGGGATGATAATATACATTGAAGGATCATTCCCTTGGGTGATGTGGGATGTCACATTATGACATTACAGTTCTTGGGCATTCACCCCCTCTTCAATAACCTGACGGAAGGTAAATCACCTCCACTTGACTACTACATCAACGACTGTCAGTACAATATGGGGTATTACTTGGCAGATGACATTTACCCAAAGTGGGTGACACTAGTCCAAGCAATTACAAACCTTAAAAATGATGCCGAAAAGTGTTTTACCTTACACCAAGAGGAATACCGAAAAGATGTTGAGAGAGCTTTTGGTGTTCTACAAGCACGGTGGAAGATCATTAAGGAACTGGCAAAAGGGTGGAGTCGAGAAAATTTGGACTCCATCATGATGTCTTGCATCATATTACACAACATGATTGTGGAGGATGATCGAGATGGGTATATTGATGGAGAGTTCGACGACGACCAAGAGGATCCAAATAGGTCAAGAAGGGCTCGTGCAAAAATATATGATGAGCCTAATTTGCCTTTCAATCCAAGAATTAGTAATATCTCTATAAATGAGTACATGAGGCGCTATAGCTATATGATGATACATTCCCGTGCCACAAACAAGTACCTACAACAGGATCTTGTTGCACATCTTTGGCCCAAAAGAAGCATGGAATAGGCGTTTAAGTTTTATGTTGTTAAATGTTTTTAAAAATGTTGTTTAATTTTTCATGTTGTATAATTTTTATATTGGTTAATGTTATTTAATGTTGTTTCATATTGTTTAATGTTGTTTCATGTTACTTAATTTAATTTAATGTTGTATAATAGTTTAGGAAGTTATAGGGAAAAAATAGAATTAAAAAAAAAATAAAAAAATTTTGTTTAAAAAAAAAACTGCAAAAAAAGGAAATAAAAAATAACGGCTAGCTAACGTCAGCAGATAGCCGTTGGTTTTTTGAATCCTGGCCTGACTGGCTGGCTCATTTGGGCCGCCCGGTTGGCCCTTTTTTGTTTAGTGGGGTCCACGAGCTCTTTGGCCTGGCCCTCGATTGGAGAGGGTTTTCAGGCCATTTTTGACCATTTGGCCCTCTGGATCCTTCGATTGGAAATGGTCTAAGCGACTGGCCAGTTCTCCAATAATCCTTAGGCGTTAAAAATTAAAAAAGGACACTTAGACTTGCCAAGCCCGCCCAAACCCGTTTAAGTAGCAACTCTTACTTAGACCGAAAATAGATAGCTTTTTTTTTATTTTTTTATTTTTTCAATAAATTGAAGAGACTTGTTAAATAGCTATCGCCACAAGAAAAATGGGCTTTGGGTACAAAATTAAGGACACAGATGAGGAGTTTGTGCCTCTTTGAACACCAATAAGGTGAAAAAGTGCCCATTCAATAAAGGCCACCATATATTGTGCCCAATGTAGAAAAAAAGGGACACAAACACATTATTGGGCATGGAAACAGGCACGAAAGACTTTTTGTGCAATAAATAGAATTTATAAGCACAATTGCATGTGTCCATATTTATAATAATGAAACTTTATTAATTAAATATACTATGTGTGACACAAAATGGCTTTTGTGCCTTTACAAAAGCTACCAATATATATTTCTCAAGGGTTAACAATGTCACAAGCCTCCCTTCCATCTCCAAATTTTCCTTTGCAATTTTTGTCTAGAAATAATGAAGCCCAAAATATTTTCTCTAATCAATTGTTCAACTTCAATCACAAGCCATGATACCCAAAGTCAAATGTTAGCTCAATTGAAAACACCTTGAATCGCTCACCCCAAGTTTCAAAAGTAATTTTAACTAAGGACACTATGAATCTCTCACTCAATTTCAAAAGTGATTTTAACTAAGAATTGTCTGCCAAGAGTTACACACCCAGATGTGGCGAATCGTGAGCCGTGCAACTCCAACCTCATGGTAACATACCGGAGTTTTGTGCCCTTTGATTTAATATATTTAAATCAAATATACATTTTGAATTATTTGCACTGTGTACTTTATAGATTTCAATGGGCACATATAATAATATCGTGCCTTTTGTGCAAAATAACAATATAAAAAAGAATGAAAAAACAAAGGTTACCCTCTCTCTCCCCTTTCACAAACTTCCTTGCTCTCTCTCCCCTCCATTCTCTCTCCTCCTTTCCCCTTCACTCTCTCTCCGCATCATTTTTTCTCCCTCTTCTCTTACGGCCAACAGCGTTGCCTTCCACCGGTCATCAAAGAGCATCAAATTATACCTCCATAATCCTCTTCCCATCCTCATTCCGATCCTCAAGTTAGTTTCTACAAATTCATAGCCAAATTTCTTCAATTTCAGGTCTAAGAAACGTATGATTTTGTTCAGGTTTTGTGTGTTTTGCAAGTATGAGAGCGGTGTATGGGATGGCGAAAAGCGGATTAGCGGTGGCGTCGATGAGTGTGATGAAGCCGGAGCTGGTGATGAAGTTGATCGTGGCGATGGTTATGGCAGGTTGTTGGTGATGATCCATGGGATGAGGTGGTTATGGCCAGAGCTGCTCAAGCAGAAGCAGTGGCTCCTTATTGACACGCTGCGACAATTAGAGTTATGAAACCTTATGCTGGTTGAAATTCGGAGTATTCTTCTTTGGTTTCCTACAATGCAGAAATTCTAATTTTCTTAAAACCACCAAGTTATTTGCTAAGGGGTTGTTTGGTTATAGTGTGTGTGTTTCATCTTGTGGAGTAGTCATTGTTGTGATTCATTTGTGTAGAGTGGGAAAATGAGGCTCATTTTTCTCTCTCAAACTTCTGTACATTATAATTTTGAATATAATCAATCTTCTTAATTGTGTTTGTCTGATCACTAGTGGTGGATTGCCTTAGTTCATAGAGTCTTCCTCTTCAACCCACTACGTCTCTTCCGTGTAGAGTAGGATATCACTTGTATAATAAAAAAAAATTGTTTTGGTCTGATCTTTGAGCTTGAATGAGTTAAGTGTTAGATGGATGTGCCACAAACATAGTGAGTGATTTCAGCCAATGTGTGAAATCTGAAATTATGTAATCTAAGATGTTGATATGTAGAGGAAGCTTTTCCATTGTTTTTCCGTTGGTTCACTTGATAAGGTGCAGGACTAGGTCGGCATGGACAAAGCCGACTTTATGTCATCCGTTGCATTTCATATGATTCTTAGTAGCCTTTCTATCAATTGTAAACTAAAAATGTTGTAAACTTGATCTTTTCAGATTCAAGATTTACTCAGCAGGAACTTCCAGCGTGTAAGCCAATTCTCACGCCACGATGGGTAGGTTTTATAGTATTGTATTCGATATCTCCTTAGTTAGGCCATCCACATTCGCATGTTAGATTTTTAGTTGAATTCTTGCCTTATCTCGTTGTGTGTGTGCGCACTTGTTCTTGCAGGTGATCTCAGCATTCATGCTTGTAAGCACTGTATTCATTCCCATCGGAGTTGCTTCCCTTTTTGCTTCTCGAGATGTATGGCTGATTTAAACCCAATTCTCTGCATAATCTATTTTTTCTTTTCTAGTACTACATGTAGTTGATCAGGAAAATGATGTTTCTGTCAGGTTGTTGAAATTATTGATCGTTATGAAACTGATTGCATACCAATGCCCGCAGTCTTAAGAAACTAAACAGCTCCATGAATCTTATCTTTCCGTATGGAAAGATGAAAGACTTCACTAAAGCTGAAAATTAGATTTCAAAATACTTATCTTTATGTAAGAAGGGAATACAAATTTGTGGTTCTTTTTGGTATTTGAGTTTATATATTTTTGGATTTGAGTTATTGTTTATTTTGTTTTAGTTTTATATATTTTCAGGATCCCGAGTTCATGAGGAACCAAAGGTATTCCCTTCTTACTTTCTTTATCCCTTCATTTTCTTGGCTCTTGTAAATTGTGTGGTTTTCTTTATCTTTGCATTTGATATTCATGATTTCTGTGAGGGTCCATATACTGCATGTCATCTGGTTAATTCGTTTTTGGAGCAGCAAAGATTTGATGAAGTGCAAGGCCTGCTAGGGAAGATGCATCTGTCCAAAAATGTTTGCCTTCAAGTTTTTTTTTTTTGTATTAGAGAGAAGATATGTAACATTACAATATATGTTTGTGAGATTCAGAAAGTGAAACTTGGTTTCATGGTTGTAGGCTTTCTTCATTTCATGAAAATTTAATTTTTTTTCATTTCCTCAATTTAATTAGTTTCAATTTTTCAAATTTTTTATTTTTTTATTAATTAATTCATGTTGGCACAATTATAATATAAGTGCTAACATGGCTGGAAAAGCTTATATGAAAAAGTTGTCAGAATGGGGCACAAATGGACCGCTGTTTGTGCTTGCCTCTTTGGCACAAATACACTATTGTGCTCTTTCAGCAATGGTGACGCCTGTAGAGGGCACAGACACAAAGATAGTAGCTGCACTGTTGCTATTGGTCTATGAACACAATTATTGGTGCTTTTTGGCCTCAAGGGGCACATATAATTTATTGTGCGTAGTGGCCATTTTTGTTGTAGTGTATGAACACACATTATATATTTGATCCCATGTTTTCATTGATCATTATGTTCTAATACTTTATAATTTATATTTCATTCTATTTTATAGTTTTTGTATCCCAATAAAATTATTTAATTTTTAAGTATAAGCAGACACTACCCAATAGTTTGCTTGAGATAAAGAAGCAAAAGCATAAAGGAAAAGAAGGAAACAGACTGCAACTAAAACCAATAATTTGCCATTTCTAGGAAACTTGCTTTGTGAGGAAAATCACCCACAAAACAGTGGAAACTTTCTTTGTTCCATTGGCTCTTGCCCTGGTTGTGATCTTATCCAGTCTTCTAAAAAAACAGTGGAAAGGCAGGAAAGCCCACACATACATAGATTAGTACATTCTTTTTCGTAACGGGTAGTGATTTATGCACTCTCCTTTTATTTCGATGCACTTCCCTCTGTTATTCTAGCTGTTCAATTGAATAAATTGAAGGAGAATCAAGGAAGAGTTCAACAGTGAGGAGTGTAGAAGAGAAAACGGGGTGTGAAAGTCGCTACCCATTGTGAATTATTACAATTTTTCTACAGTGCTGCAATGTTTTTGACAAACATCTATAACATAAAACAGAAGTAAATTACGAAAGAAAAATAATAATTAAACACAATCACACTGCATAAAAAAAACATTAAACACAATCACATTGCACCAACATTCATTGATCAAAGACCATGGCCTCCAGGAAGCTTGTTGAGCCAATTTAGGTTCATAACTTCTTTGATCACCTTTATGTGTATGTCTGTCAAATATGGTAAGAACGGTTCCCATAAAGTTTCCGTCTCCTCGTCGCATATCACTTGATTCAACTGCTCAAGATCCAAAACAGAAGCAGGCAGCTCTTTCAATCCTGAGCACTGGCTAACGTTGATCTTTTCCAAACTGCGCATTGCACCAATATCCTCGGGCAACTCCTTTATGCTAAAGCAATCAGATATGTCGAAAAGTTTTACATTATTAAGGTTCCTAATCGAGCGTGGCAACTCTAACAAGTCTGCACATGACCTAAGCCTCAACACTTCTAAATTGACTAACTTTCCGATGTCCTCAGGCAACGTGGATAGCTTATGACAGTTGGTGATGCTAAGCTTTGTAAGGTGAATAAGGTCACCAAGGTTGGCAGGAAGTTCCACCAGGTCGTGGCAATAATCTATGTTCAATTCCACTAGATTTGGCAGTGCATCTAAAATTTGGACGAAACCTTGACTGATATCGCACAAGAAAAGAGACATCTTTTGCAAACTTTTCAACTGTTTGAGGACCTTGCTTATGGAGGGAATTGAAATGCGTTCTAATCTAATTCTCTTAAGATTTGATAACGAGCCAAGTAGTTCAAAATTATCTACTTCAGCAGGTGACAAACCGTAATTTGTGATTATTAGAACCTTTAGTTTATCCATATTCACCACAAACTCAGGTAAGGCATAGTTGTTTGTTTGAAAATTCAGAACTAGAACCTCTGCTTCGGGTACTTGCATGTTTGGCCATTTTGCTGAGAAGGCTCCATCTGCAAACAACATGCCTTAAGATTAGTTTGGGTTGAATTAAATGTGCCCAAGTCTATTGAAGTCTTAGTATGAATGACCGTCTGTGTGTGCACACATACGTGTGTGCATGTACAAGTATTTAGTATAGAGATTGATGGAACCTGTGGAGATAGATAATAGTCGAGCCTTGAAAGCTTGATACTTTTGTTCCGTCAACCACTTGGGAAGATTATCCCCACATATGTTTATAACTAGTCTTTTCCTCTGGTCTATTGGGTCTTGACTTGCCTGATGGATCGCCAATTCTCTAAGCATCTCATGCTGGGTGACAAAGTGTTCAGTGTAATAGCCGTCCGCCTCCCTCTCATGCCTGGATGATCAATACTAATTTCATTCATGATTTGTTCGGTATGCATATTGGAATAGAAAACTTTGAGCAGCGTGCATACCTTGTGACAACAAGATTTGCCAAACTTCGAGTGGTGAGTTCGTGAAGGTTGGCAATGGTCAGAATTTCTTTATCTAGACCATATAACTCCGCCCACATGTCAATGAGGACGGCAGCAGCAATTCTTTGGTCCTCGGGAAATGAACCTAGATCGAGGAAACATTCCTTGATGATTGTCTTTTCTTTATCCAAGGCATCTAAGCTGCTTTGGAGGCAAGCAAGCAGATCCTTGTCAGAATCAAGAATAGATGAACCTTTGCACCATTCCAGCACTCTTTTCTGCCAGATTTCTATAGGCTGGCTGCGAAGTGACCTCCCGACCAATGCAATGGCAAGTGGGCATCCCTTACAGCACTTGATAATCTGCAATTTAATTATTCCGAATGAATTCAGTTACAATTTGGTTAAATTGTTGTAAATCATCTAAATGGTTGAACAAAGATGGTAAAATTGTTAAATGTCTACTCCCATTCTAATTATAAGACGGTAAATGGAAGTGTTAACGTGTGGATGATCAAATGTTATGCATTGCAAAATAAGAAATCACCTTTCTCGAAAGATCTTCGGAAGTATAAGAGCTTTTATCCTCCAAGGATGCTGAATGGTGAAAAAGAGTCATTGCATCCTCATCATTCAATAATGCCAAATGGTATGGAGAACCAAATCTCGAAAATGCAAATCTTGATGTGACCAAAATCTTGTAATTTGAAAACTTGAATTGATCAAACCTATCAAGAAGGGACTCTGATCCTGACCAAACATCATCCAGGACAAACAACAGAGGGTTGTGTCTTGATTCCTTCAAAAAATTTTGCAACCATTTAACTGCCATGAATTCGTTTTGGAAAGCAGGCAGCTCGGACCCCTTCCGTTGATATAGTTCATGTACAATAAGGTCCAAGTTGGGATTTTTCGAGACATTGACAAAGAAGATGTTGTTCTTGAATGTATCTATCCAAACAAAATGTAAGAAAGGTGTTAAGATAAAGGTTGACTAGATATATCTGCAATTCTCAGATCAGGTAATTATGTGGTCAAGCAAGAGCTCCTTGCGAGATTTATGCCTTTAGATGAAGCTATATGCAGAAGAATTTGTGATCTTTCTTAATTTTTGCACGGTTTAGTTTCATGTCCCCTTCGTTGTACCTTGTATTCTCTTTAACAAGTTTTTGGTGGTGTGGATGTTTGGAGGGACTGGCTGGCGTTTTACAGGGGTCTTTGCCCTAGTGCATAGTATACTTTTTAACTAGCTAGGAAGTAACACTTCACAAACGAAAAAAAAGTTCGAAATCATAGATAGCATACCTTTGACTTCTTGATCTTGACAAAACATTTTAGCTAAGGTGGTTTTCCCACATCCTCCAGCAGCAGTCAGCACAAGCATCGACACCTTTTCATCCTTGAGAAGCTTCATCTTCAACTCCTTCAACGGCAAATCCAACCCGACTGTAATGCATGGTGGTTCAGGCACAGCAGACAAACATTCAACCTTTTCAGGGTGATTAATTTTGATCACCATATTCTCTTCTATTCCAGAGAGCGCCATCTCGATATTCCTCAAAGAAACCAATGTCTCCCTCGCATCCATTATGCTCTGCACTTTGAGTAGATCAAACACTCTTCGAAGAGATTTGTCCAGTTGATGAAGCTTGTTGGTGTATTTGTATTTTCTCCACACGCCAACTTTGCTGCACTTTTGAACAAGATTTGCTCCCTCCTCCATTTGTATTGCAATATATTCCAGTCCCTCTTTCGAGTTATATTTTTCGATGTCTTTGATGAGTGGCTGTAGAGAGTCCAGAGTGGATTTGATGTCTCCAAGGAGGTGCTCGAACACTGTGGTCTCCTCCTGCACTGATTTTACAGCATCAAACAGTTTTTGAAATGCCATTCTCAGAGCACCCATTCCGACAGAAGCCACAGACATATTTACGAAAACAAAGAGACTCAAAACCTAAACTTAACTATTTCTCTTACGTAATCTGTTCTTGGTTGATGCTTACGTAATCTGTTCTTGGTTGATGAAGGAACAACAGAAATTCCAATGGATTTACAGAGAGAACGTAACACATATATATACTGTTAACCTTCAACCTTTGATGAACATCAATGGAGTTTTCTATATATTCTTAGAGAGAGAAAGAGAAGAAACTATAGAGAGAGAATTACAACTGAATTGTTCTTTCTTGTATTCAAAGGATAATTCTTACAGCACATAATACAAGTATATATATACCCTAACTTTCCTTGCACCTCAAGTAATCTTTCCTTACACATTAAGTAATCTTCTATTAACTGTTTTTAACTACCTTAAGAAACCATAACAAACTTATTCCTCCATCCGTTGACACTTGTCACGATCCAACGACTCTATATCTTCACACAACTGAATGAACAAGTTAGCTAGCTAGGAAAAGACACGGAATTTTCAGGCCAAATGTTTTGGCGAACAAATAACTTTTAGACTCAATTAGTCTCTAATAGAGATGCAAAATGTCTTGAAATGAACAATTTATATTTTTTTTCGCACGTAAAGCTCTCTAATGATTAATGTAAATTATCTATTTTTGTCACAATATGTAAATAAAAATGTATATTTACATATTTGAGAGCTGGACTAGTAAGACAAAAAAAAAAAAAAAAAAAAAAAGATCTCAAGTTTATCTGTCTCTCAATGTAGTACTCATATTTACACCTTCCGAAAATGCTCTTATTAAAAATATACTAAACAAACAGTGTTGATGAACTACTCAAAAATTACAAAATTACTACTAAAAATACTACAAATGCATTACAAAGACGTTGTTGAAATTACAATTATATTTGCTTTATCTTTTGTGACTATAACTCGAAAGCATGGACTCTTGGAATGTTAATATTAGAAACTACTGCTAGCTTCTCTCTCCTTTCTCCTACCAAATGACTCCTTGCTCCAGCTTGTGGCTGGTGACAGCCCCTCTCTCGCTTCTCCTAGCCTTACTATTTTCTCTTCTCATGAATTGTCGTAAATTTATTTTTTGTTTTAGTATTTCAGTCGATAAGAGGCTTTTTGGTAAGGTTATTTTTTAATATATCCTAGTGAGTACCTAAGTTTTGTGTTGGTGTTATTCACTTTTCTTTGGTTTACTTCACTGTTCTTGATAGCTTTTTTTATGGTGTTGGGAACAAAATTGATATGGATAGACACTAATTGGTTCATTGCCAGTTCCTCTTCAAGTCGGCATAGCTTGTTGTAAAAAAATAGTGTCTTCATGTTCGTTATATTGCAATTTTTTGTGTGTGTGTGTGTGTTTTTTTTTAAGGAAATTAATAGGCAAAGTGTTTGAGTCTTTCATCATGAATGAAGTTTCTTTGGCTTTGGAGCATTGTACGTAATTCAGCCTTCTGAGTTTGCATATAGATGACTTCAACACTTGGATGCATTCCTTTACTTATTTTCGTGCCTGTATTACTCTCAAATCCACCAATATGGCGGCAACTAGTGTAGCCAAGTTGGCATTTAGAAAATTTAGGGGCCGTTTTATATTCATTTCATTTTTAGTTTTTGTTTGCAATTATTTTTTAAAACTGAAAATCATTTGGTATCTACTTTTAGTTTTTTGTTTTAAAAAAAATGAAAACTGAAAACTACGATTATTTTCAGTTTCTATTTTACTTTTTTTGAAAAATTAAAAATTGTTTAGTAATTATTTTAAGGGTCATGTTGATTCCGGCCCCTAGTCAACCTAATTGTTAGAATGAAACTTTATTTGTTTAAATAGTTTAATCAAGGTCCCGAGCATCATTTAAGGGATTTAACTCATGCATTTAATATCCCACAAATTATGAAATTTAAACAAATTCAAATATATTTTTACAATTAACAATTATTTGAAAATCAATTATAGAGTAATATTGTTCTTCACATAGTTTAGCAAAGATTAATGTACCCACGTAATTATTAATACAGTTTAAGAAATAGGAACTGTTATTCGCACTCCAAAAGTCTAATTCTACACTCCTCAAAAGTGTAATTTTCTTTCTACTTATAGAAAGTCTAGAGTGCAAAATGAGATTTATGGAGTGCCAATAACAATTCCCTAAGCAATAACTATTGATAAATACATATAATTAGCATGGGTACATTAATAAAAAAAATGTGGGTACATATTAAAATTTAAAATTATGGGTACAAATTAAAACTAAAAAGAATATTGGTATAAATTAAAAAAGGTACAAATTATAAATAGAAATATATGAAAAAATTACTAAAAAGATATATTTGAAAATGATTAATTTTTTTTTGCATATCGATATTTTTACACTAAGGGGAGGGGGAGTTCAACAAAGCCACACAATGGGCAAACTAATTTGGTATCGAATTTGCCATCCACGAGATTCGAACCTGACCTCTCATTTCCATGTGAAGAGGAATATCATCAGATGAGTGGCATTTGAAAATGATTAATAAGTTTTTCATTTTTAAAATTGACAAATAATGACTTGTAAATAATTTAAATATTCAAATAATGACACCTAAACAAGTTAGAGACATTGATCAAAAATGAAAAAGAAATAAAGTTTGAAATGAGGATGAGAACCTAATTTATCCTATTTTCAATTTCTGCCGTTTCTTAAAGCTAGTTTTTAAATTTTAAAAATTTTGACTTATCAATTTTATTTTTTAAATGACTTTTTTACCTTTTAAATTAACTAAAAATCCACAATTAAAAAAAAATTTAATATTTCTTTTGCATGTTTGTTAAAGTTATCGTGTCATTTGGTAGGACTTTCGGTTTAATGCATCATGCATAAGAAAAGCAATCCAGGCATACACACCTTTTATATTCCAACTTTCCTAATAAATTACCACACTTCGCGATGGTGAGCAAAAATACATTCATTAAAAATGGTAACTCGTTTGAAAAAATGGGTAAATTTTATGAGTTTTAGTAAAAATCTTCTATTGGACATTACTTGAATAATATTTTATAGACAACATGATGTGTCGGTTATTTGAATACATGGTGTAAGTCATCAAAGAAAATATTCAACAATCAACTACCATATCATTTGGTCTACAAAATATAGTCTTAAAACATAATCTTGTAAGCATGTTTTAAAAAATGATGCGTTACTATTTGATTCTTTTTTGGTTTCGTAAAATATGCACAAAACTTAGTCTATATTATTAAGGGAAAAGCTCTTATGGTTAAGTTTTCATAAAGTGACAAAATTGCGCTGTATTTAAGGGAGAAAATACTATACTTATATACATATAAATTTATCAACATTAAAGTTTTTGTGCATATGCTATGAAAACATAAGGAAATTTAATTTTGACATGCTCATGCCTATTCATACGAGCTTCATCGTTTTAATAAACTTAAGAATTGTTTTCATGAAGTTTGCCCACAAAAAAGAATTAATCCATTTAACGCGTATCACAACTTCATAAAAATTGACAGAGTTGAGAATTTCTATGAGAAACTATAGTATTATTTCATTATGTTTTCATGGAATATGCACAACAATTTTCAATGTTGATTAGTAAATTTTGTAGGCCTTGTAGTCTAATTTTATTTCCTAAAAAGTATAATTTTCTTTATGAGGTTTTAATTTAAACTGTGCAATGACTTTATTGTTCATACAATCAGGTATATAGCTTCTAAAAGAATTGTTATTAGTGCTAAATAGGGGTGGGCACTTAGAACTGAAAACCGAAACCGAAACACGAATCAAATCGAACCGTACCGAACAGTTTGGTTTTGCGGTTTTGAAACGGTTTCGGTTTTGAAACCAAACCGCAACATAGAAAACGGTTTCGTTTTGGTTTTGGCTTTTGAAAACCGCACCGAAACCGAACCGCACCGAAAATATTAATAAACATTTAATTAAATGTCCATATTATATTTCATGTTTTAATTGGTTGTTTGTTAGAATCCATACACTTAGTATGGGACTCAACTACACTAGAATATAATCATTCATCACTTTCTTTCGTTCATTAACTTGAAGGACCTTTGTTATTTTATACCATCACACACACATATATGTACAAGGGTGGACTAATCTTGTTATCAAGAGTCGAACAATGATCTCTAGAATACATCATTCATCACTTTCTTTCGTTCATTAACTTGAAGGACCTTTGTTATTTTATACCATCACACACACATATATGTACAAGGGTGGACTAATCTTGTTATCAAGAGTCGAACAATGATCTAATGAAGTCCACTCATTTGAATCATGATATCACATATTCTAGTATCAAAATTTCTCTCACGTTTAATGAATTCAAATTTATTCAACTTGTTTTATGATAAACATTATAAGGGACACCCTTTTGTTGCACAAACATGTTTTAACATCACAACTGCATGCAACATGCTAATTGTTTACATAACAAATGTTTTTTTCCTATTGCTATTGGGAAATGCTTATTAATATGTTAAATTGCAAATTGTACATTTTTTCTTAAAAACCAAACCGAAATCGTTTGAAACTGCACCGAACCGAACCAAACGGTTTGGTTTTATTTCGGTTTTGGCTTCAAAACCGCACCGAACCGAACCGCAAAAAAATTAGGTTTCAATTTCGATTTCACTCAAAACCGCACCAAATCAAACCGTGCCCACCCCTAGTGCTAAAAGATAGTCACTTTGCCTTCCTTTTGAGTCCCTTGTTTATTTTATTAAAGAGTAGTACAAGATGAATGATTTTTTTAGTTCAAATTTTGTTGCAAGTGGATTCATAGGTCTGGCACGTGTATGTTATTTAGAGAAATTATATATTGTGAAGATGCTACTATATGTAGTGGCAGATCTAGGATTGAACTTTGGAGAGTCTCAATATTAAAAACTCAAGTTGTTTAGATACAAACATAGTGGGAAGCACGCAAAAGAAATTTTTAGTTTATTCATTTAGGCATTTCGTCGAATACTTGGTGAGTTAGTTGTTATCAGCCAAACTATGTTGCGCATATATCAAGATATATTGATATATGCCGAAGTCACACAAAAGAAATTTTTAGTTTATTCATTGAGGCATTTCGTCGAATATTTGGTGAGTTAGTTGTTATCAGCCAAACTATGTTGCACACATATCAACATAAATTGATATATGCCGAAGCAATCTGATGAGTGATATTAAGAGAATCTGTTGAGTGATGTCGACGCAATGTAGAGATATGCT